TTTGGGGAGGAGAAGCCCCAAAGCGGTGGCAGCTCCTGCTCACGCCAAAGAGCTCCATGAGGGGTGAGGCTGGATCTGGGGGCACGCAGCCATTCTAGGGGTGGTGGATCCCTGGGTACCACCCTGATGGATCCCTGGGTACAGCCCTGATGGATCCCTGGATAAAGCCCTGATGGATCCCTGGGTTCTGCCCTGATGGATTCCTGGGTACCACCCTGATGGATCCCTGGATACTGCCCTGATGGATCCTTGGGTTCCGCCCTGATGGATCCCTGGGTACCACCCTGATGGATCCATGGGTACAGCCCTGATGGATCCCTGGGTACCACCCTGATGGATCCCTGGGTACCGCCCTGATGGATCCCTGGGTACAGCCCTGATGGATCCCTGGGTACCACCCTGATGGATACCTGGATAAAGCCCTGATGGATCCCTGGGTTCCGCCCTGATGGATCCCTGGGTTCCACCCTGATGGATCCCTGGGTGCCACCCTGATGGATTCCTGGATACCGCCCTGATGGATCCTTGGGTACCTCCCTGATGGATCCCTGGGCACCGCCCTGATGGATCCCTGGGCACCGCCCTGATGGATACCTGGGTACAGCCTTGATGGATCCCTGGATTCCACCCTGATGGATCCTTGGGTACAGCCCTGATGGATCCCTGGGTACCACCCTGATGGATATCTGGGTGCCGCTCTGATGGATTCCTGGGTGCTGCTCTGATGGATCCTTGGGTACCGCCCTGATGGATCCCTGGGTTCCGCCCTGATGGATCCCTGGGTACCGCCCTGATGGATCCCTGGATTCTGCCCTGATGGATACCTGGATACCCCCCCGATCCCCGCAGTGCCACCCCCGTGCCCCAACCTCTCCCCCCACTGCAGGACCGGGTCTCCGGGGGCTGGGGATGGGGATCCTCCTGCATCCCCTCCCTCCCTTCCCTCCCCTCCCCTTCTGATAATCCTATTTTTGAACCAGGGGATTAGGATCAATACTTCACTCCTAATGCTGTGGTAATACAGTGTTACACCGCCAGCGCCAGTTCCCTGCTGAAACACTTAAGGTAGTTTAAACCCATTTGTGCCGGGGAGTGCCGTGAATCCACAACGAGCTCCGAGCCGAGCCCGTGCCAGCCTGGGGCTGCTCCTGATGGCCCAGGAAGCTTCGGGACCCCAAAAGGGCCACGCTGGGCAGGGGTTGTGGCACCGGGGCAGCCGCTGTGCCCTTCACACAGCTGGTGTGGGCAGCATCTGCTCATCTGGGGATGCTGCTGATCCCAAAGTGCCTCGTGCCGGGATTCCTGGTGGAAGGATCCCTTGTGCAGTGCAGTCCTGATGCTCCCCAAATTCTGAGTGTCCCCGACTCTGGGTGCCCCTGGCTCTGCCCTGAGTTCTGTGTGCCCCCATTTCTGCTTTCTCCCAGCTCTGGGTGCCCCCAGTTCTGCATTCTCTCAGTTCTGGGTGCCCTCAGCTCTGCATTCTCCCAGTTCGTGGTGCCCGAGCTCTGTGTTCTCACAGCTCTGTGTGCCCCCAGCTCTGCTCTGTGTTCTGGTGCCCCCAGCTCCGCATTCTCCCATCTCTGGGTGCCCCCAGCTCTGTCCTCCCTCGCCGGCCCTGAGGCCGAGGGATGCTGTCCATCCTTCACTCCAAATTGGCTGAGGGGTTTGAGCAGCTCCCGGGGAGCAGAAACCAAAACATTTTCATCCCGGCGCTAATTCATAATTAGCCGCGTTTTTATTAGGTGCTAATGGAGAGCAGGGATTTGGGATGCCTGGCACAGCTCGGAAATGCTGATTCACCCAGAGACCTCCCTTTCCTCAGGCCAGAGCCTGCTCCAGGCAGCTCCTGGTCAAAAAAATCCCAGCCCAGCAAACTCCAGGAACATCTCGGAGCTGAGTGGTGGCTCCAGCAAACACCATCCAGGGATCCACAGCATGGAGTGGGCTCTGTCCCTGCACACAGCGCTCTGGGGACCCCCTGTCCCCACCTGGGAACCCCCTGACCCCACCAAGGAGTCCCTCACAAGCTCCTTCCCTTCTCTATTTCCCAGCAAAGGGATGCTCATGACATTTGGGATGAGCTGATCCCATCCCTCTCACCGCGGAGGATCCAAATCCAGCCCCTCTTCTCTGGCTACTTTTCAATTAAAACCAAAACATCCCCTAATAACCCACAGAGGGTTTTTATTTCCTTCCCTTTTTAATTTTTTTTTAATAAATCTATTATGAGGAGCTTAGAGATGCATGTAAAACCGGCGAGGGACGATTGGAGGATTAGGGATCATCGTGTCCACGAGTAAAGGAAGGACAGATCTAATGGGGCTGGAATCAGGCAGGGAAAGGATCAGCGAGCCCAGCCAGGCCAGAAAGGGGGGAAAAAGGGATGTAGGGCTGGGAAAAGGAGCTGGGAAGGGATTGAGGAGCAGGAGGGGTCCCGGGTGATGCCTCTGGAAGCAGCAGCGAGATCCCGAGGCGCTCCCAGCGGCTCCCGCCCCCCGCATCCCGTTTAGCATAAAAGTCATTTTGGTCGGGGACCCCCGGCTGCTGCTCCCTCATTCCCAGGCATCTGGGCCCCCGCGGGACGGCTGAGCGGGGCCAGCAGCGTTTAACCCCCCCGCCAAGGGGAATTGGCTGCGTCGCCGTTTCCCTGACCCCAAAAAGACAATGAGATCCTGCACGAAAGCAATAGATTTTAGCCACAGGCCTGCGGAGAGGCGAGAGGAATAAAATACAGATGGAGCCTCGTGCGGCGGGGATGGGAATGGATTCCGAGCAGGGGCCGGGACGTGCCGGGGCTGCCCGGGGTCGGGATGAGGTGATACCCCCTAAATCCATGTGCACCTCCCAGCCACGCTCTGCGTCCCAATTCTTAATTTCCTGTAAAAAATTCCCTAATTTCTGCCCCGGTTGCAGCACCCAGCCTGAATTTAGGAGCAGTTTTGGTGGTTTTTCACCAGGTTCTGAGCAAAACGGAGCTGGGATGCGGCAGGATGGGGTGGGGACACCCGGAGCATCCCGGGCTGGCTCATTCCGTATCCCTGCGGAGCCGGAGCCCTCAGGGGCTGCTCATCCTCCTGCCTTAACGCACCACCTCTATTTATTCTGCTCCTGTAACTGTAAAATTGATTTTCTTGCAACAAGCCGCTCGTCTTTCACCACCCAACGCACCCAAACGCTCCGACATAAGACACTGGCAATTTTTAATTAGTTTCCTTTCTCCCTCCTTCCTCCCTGAGCAGGCATGTGGAACCGGAACAGGGCAGCCCGGAAAGGAGCGGGATCCAAAGGTGACAAAAGCACTTTTTATCCTTGATATGATTATTAATAATACACTCGTTTACCTAACGAGGCGGGAGCTCGGGGGGCGGCGCGGGGAGGTGATTAGCGCTTCTTTCAGCTGTGGGGATGGAGGAGCAGCTTTAACGGCTGGAATCTTTAAATATTGGCTTGGAGCTGCTCAGGGGTGCTGCTCCCATCCCCAAAAACACCCCCAGGCCTCCACCCCAGCCCTGGCTGTGCTGGTGGCTTTGCTGGCACAATGCAGTGAGTGCTGCCAATGTCCTCTGGGCCAGGGGTGGAATTTGTCACGACCTCCAAACACCCCCACATGGGTGACCACAGCCCAGGATAAACTGGAAAACCCACAGGGCTCACTACACCTCTCTACTAATGAGCCTGGAGTAATTAAAGCCTCACTGCTGGGCTGGGGGAGCCACTCTGCTCTTCCAGGCTCCATCCAGCCCCACAGGGGGATGCTGTGAGCCCCCAATTTGGGGGTCTCACCGCCCTGTGCTGAAGCTGCCAGTGCCACGTGTCCTCTGTCACCAACACCGTGGCTGGAGGTCACAGCCCCGTGTCCCCCTGTGACCGTCTGGGTGGCAGAGGTGACCACAGCCCCGAGCATCCCGCTGTGGGAAGGGTCCCTGGGAGCAAGGAAAGGGCAGAGGGGCTGCAGGGAGGGGAGCAAAGCCCCCAGCAGCAGCACAGGGACACGTGTGCGCCCCAAGGAGCTGCCCCGGGAAAAGTTCCTGGGATGGGGAATAGGAGGGGGGGGAAAAGGGAGAATGAAAGGGAAAAAAGAAAAAAGAAAAAAAAGAAAAAAGGGGGAAAAAAGGGCAGGAAAGTCCTGCGGCCTTTTGCCTTGTCAGTTCTCCGTCTGCTGTCACTCAGCCGCCGAATTCTCCTTCAAGTTGTCATAGCGAGGCTGGCGGGGATTATGCCGCGGCTCTGTCCAGAATTGATTCATGTGGAACGCGTGCTTGACGGGCAGAACCGCTGGTGTGAGCGGGAGCCGCTGAGACCCCCGATTTTCCCACCTTCCTCACACAATCTGGTATTGTTTGGCCGCAGCCTTAGTGATCCCTGCGCCGGGGCTGTGACTGACACAGCTTTGAGGCTCTAAGGCGTATTTTGAATTTCTAAAACCTCTCAGGAAGTCCCCGGGGTGCCTTCTGCCATTGTCTTGTTTCTCCTTTCGCCTTTTTCCCTTTCCACCCCGAACCCCTCCTGCATCCCCCACCGCCTCCTCCCCTTTTTTTTGCCCCTTCCTCCCCCTAATTCCAACCCCTCAATCCCTGACACAACGCGGGGTCTTTGGATTTTTTTTTTCCTTACCCCCCATACTTACGCTCCAACTCTCTCCGGAGCTGCTCAGCCACTTTGCAAACACGATTTATAAAAAAAAAAATTAAATAAAACAGAGAAAAACTAAATAAAGCTCTAAAAGTTCCCAAATCCTTGATCCGCCACGGAGAAGAGGAGCTTTACTTGTTTGCTTTTAATCAGCTGACACAAACCCCGGGATGTGTTGAAAAATAATAATAGTAGAAATAAATCTTCCAGCGAGTCATAATAGAAATAAATCTTTCACCTAATCTTAATAGAAATCAATCTTTTACCTAATCTTAATAGAAATAAAGCTCTCAGCTAATCTGTGGTGAGTCGGTGTCCATCCTGCTGCCCACACTGCTCCAGNGATCCCTGGGTACCGCCCTGATGGATATCTGGGTACAGCCCTGACGGATCCCTGGGTACCGCCCTGATGGATCCCTGGGTACCGCCCTGATGGATCCCTGGGTACCACCCTGATGGATATCTGGGTACAGCCCTGATGGATCCCTGGGTACCACCTTGATGGATCCCTGGGTTCCACCCTGATGGATCCCTGGGTACCGCCCTGATGGATCCTTGGGTACAGCCCTGATGGATCCCTGGGTACAGCCCTGATGGATCCCTGGGTTCCACCCTGATGGATCCCTGGGTTCTGCCCTGATGGATCCTTGGGTACCTCCCTGATGGATCCCTGGGTACCGCCCTGATGGATATCTGGGTTCCGCCCTGATGGATCCTTGGGTACAGCCCTGATGGATTCCTGGATACCGCCCTGATGGATCCTTCGGTACAGCCCTGATGGATCCCTGGATAAAGCCCTGATGGATCCTTGGGTTCCGCCCTGATGGATCCTTGGGTACCTCCCTGATGGATCCCTGGGTACCGCCCTGATGGATCCCTGGGTGCCACCTTGATGGATCCCTGGGTACAGCCCTGATGGATACCTGGGTACCACCCTGATGGATACCTGGGTACTGCCCTGATGGATCCATGGATAAAGCCCTGACGGATCCCTGGGTACCGCCCTGATGGATATCTGGGTTCCGCCCTGATGGACCCTTGGGTACCGCCCTGATGGATCCCTGGGTTCTGCCCTGATGGATCCCTGGGTTCTGCCCTGATGGATTCCTGGGTTCCACCCTGATGGATCCCTGGGTACCGCCCTGATGGATATCTGGGTTCTGCCCTGATGGATATCTGGGTACAGCCCTGATGGATCCCTGGGTACCACCCTGATGGATCTCTGGGTTCCACCCTGATTGATCCCTGGGTACCACCCTGATGGATCCTTGGGTTCAAACCTGATGGATCCCTGGGTACCGCCCTGATGGATCCTTGGGTACCGCCCTGATGGATCCCTGGGTACAGCCCTGATGGATCCCTGGATACCGCCCTGATGGATCCCTGGATAAAGCCCTGATGGATCCNGCCCAGATGTGCCCAGATGTCCTGCAGATTGCAGCTGGACAGGGACCAACCAGCTCAGATGGGTTTTCCATGGGCACCAGCAGAATCAGGAGGGGCCCACAGGGATTTGGCCTCTTCCCCCTCGGAGCTGGTACCAACCCCATGCTCGCCTTTCCTACCACTGCATCCTTTGGATCCATTCATGGGGATTTTCCTCCATCATCTGCCACTCAGTGATCTCATCTCCCCAACCTTTTGCATAAATTTATTGATAATTATCCCCTTATCCTTTGCCACTCAATGACCCTCATCTCCCCATCCTCTTTTACCCATTATTTATGGAAGATTTTTCCCCATCTCCCCAACCTTTTAGGTGGGGATTTTCCCCCAGTGTCTGCCACTCAATGATCCCATCTCCCCATCCTTTTTCACCCATTTATTGAGATTTTTCCCACATCTCCCCAACCTTTTAGGTCCATTCATGGGATATTTCCCCCCATTCTCTGCCACTCAATATTCCCCATCCCCTCATCCTTTTTTACCCATTTATTGAAGCTTTTCCCCCATCTTCTCAACATCTTAGGTGAGGATTTCTCCCCTC